TACGAAAAAATTTAATGTAACATACAGAAGAAAGATAAAATTGTAATTGATGTGGTAAAAGAATATCGTATTCTTCCCTGTTACAAGGCCTGCCTTTATTACAATAAAGTAATTATTATATATTACATTAGACTTTATATAATAAATCCTTCCATTTACTTACAACTGTGTTTTTGCATGCTTAGAGATTTTTTTTTTTTAGGAATGAAAAGAATAAATAGACAGAAGGACAAACTCAGTTTGTATAGTCATAATTTTCAATTTTGAAATAAGTCAAAATAATCCTGGGCTTCTATGTACAATTAGAGATTTTTTATTAATGAACAAGCAAATCGCAAACATATCCCAGAATTAGTGCATGTATTATGCTATTCCTCTTTCTTTCAATGTGATTTCAAAACATATATATAAAAATGGGGTGTACCTACAGGCAGCCCCTGTCGGGTCCCTTTGTGAGATGGTCGTTAGATAATTAGAAAGAACTATCTTAACTTCGTTCCTTTTTATCATTATCATCTGCAGAAGATGCGCCGACAATATTTTTATAATATAGAAAACAGACTGTACTGTTTTCATAGTTAATCTGATTCAGTATCTTCTTGTGACAATCTCATACTGTTTTAGTCTTCTTTCTTGTATTTTGTTGCCAGTATCAATTACTTTAACTTTACCTTAAATGCACTCATTTCTAATTTAATTAGCTTTTATTATACTACATATTCATTTCTGATTGCATTCTTATCTTAGGCTTTAGTGTTAGTCTAGGCTGACCAAACATTTGTTTTGAACAGGACAGTACTGTTTTATTGTTTTGTCACAGGACAGTTAGTAAAAGTCTTGTCTTTGGTTAGTAAAAATCTCAGTTGCCCTGTTTTTATAAACTTTGAAATGTTCTTAAATGTTGGTCATTCATGACCTGTAAACAAGTTTGTCACTGGTAGTTATTACATAGTTTTGTGTCTTGGTATAAATAGTCAATATCTGGACAAAGCTTTACTTCTTCACATTTTATTTAATACATTTTAGTATTCAGTAGGATTTCCTTTTTTAATGGATCGTCGAATAACAGATGTTTTTCCCAAGTTCTGCCAAATCAGTGTAATTTTCCGTCCTTTAGCAGATCCATAACTCTAAATAATAGATTTTTTCTAGCCCTATTTATTGTAAACTTTGCATTATTTTCAACATTTAATTAATAGTTGGATTTTTCTGGGAATTTATAGAGTTTAAAAATGAACTTGTTACATCTGGGATATGTGCAGTATAATTGAAGAATTGTATGAAGATAGTCAGCATGAATTCTACAGATTGAAGAGGAGCCATCTAGTTATCATGCAGGTTTAAGTGTAGTGCTGAAATATAGTGAGGATATCAAGTCTTTCCAAGTCACGAAGACCATGATAAGTTTTATCATAAATGAACAGGCTGTACATGACATTGCTAATATCAAGCAGTTGTTATATTCAATTGACAGAAAAACAGCATCAAAATAAACCAAAATGGATGAGTTTTTTAACAAATTGTAAAGTCGAGTGAAGTGCTAATCACCATATGTCCTTGGTCTCTTTTTGCGCTTATGATATATATAGTTTCCTTGTTCTTTGTTGTACGTATGTAAGGTATATACAATCTTAAAATGTGTGTCTCTTTAGAATATAGAATAGAGATCTCAAGAGACTGAATAATTACAAGTATTAGTATTTCTTATATATATAGGGGGTTTATAATGGATACTTTCCTGGATGTGTGGAAAATCCATTATTCTTGATATAATGAATGTTCAGAGGCCTGAGCAATCCATTAAAATGATATTCTACTGTATGTTTATTGTTATTATTCCATTTGTTAATGCAGTGTGGACATTAAGATGTCTTCCATGGAAAAAAAGTGTAGATACAAACTAGCTTTTGGGCCACCCTCTTTATTTTACATATAAATTTGCTTTTTCTCGTATCACGCTTTAAGACTTCGTTTCAAAAATCAAAATCTATTGTATATTCTAAGTTGTTAGTTTTGCCAGCCAGTAATTAAGATGCGAAGTAATTATTGATAACATTTTAAAAGTTATAATTTGAGAACAAAAGACAACTGATCACTTTTAACATCTGAATCCCAAGGAAGATTGTTGTAGTTTGGGAGAGAGATGTGCCAATCAAGATTAACAAGAGAGGGGATAAAAGTGTTTGAATATTTGCATGTCTTAGATACTATGTGTGATGTGTAGAATTAGTTATTGTTCTGTGACCTTGCTGATTGCAACATACTATGCCATATATTGTTTAAATTTTTGTTTTATATGTTTCATTGTTTTGTGACCTCAAAATAAAAATGACAGAGAGAAAAGTGCACATTCAATGACAATCTACAAAAAGAAATTAAATTCATCAAACTGGATTAATTACAGAGTGATAAGATGAAAGGGATGTGTCAGTATTGTTATGTTCATTTTTTTTTAGTTTTTATTATGTTCATAGAGATAGAAGCGACATCAACGAACAACTACATATCCAGAAACATAAAGATGCTGAGAAAACAAGAACAGCTTTACTCTAACACTGTTTTGGAAATCTTCCATACAAAATAACACAATTTTTAAATGTAAACTTAATTATTCAATTTTTTTTATTTAAATAAGCATGCGTGCTGTCTCAAATTTGCCTGTGAATTTTAGAATATTGAAATATTCAAATTATTTTGTGCTTTTTATCAGATATACTTTAATGAAAACTGGTAGGACAAGAAGAAAAAATTTCACTGACTTTCCTGTCAGCCGGGTGTCCATGTCATTGCTTTCAAACTTTAACCCTTAAGACTGTCACTGTGATTTCTTTTAATAGATTAATCTTCATATTTAGTAAACTTTATTTAAACATTTTTTATGATGTTAAATTTTTTTAACTGTAGGAAACAAAAAAGAATAGTATACTTTTTCTAACTTTGGAACCTAACTTTGTGTTTTGCATTAGTCCTTTGTTTCATATAGCACAGATTTGCATAACACTGCACTTTTCGGACTATAATTACTGTGTTATACAAGGGATACCTGTACTTGTAATCACCAGTTTATGAACTATTGAATGTAATAATTTATGCTGGCCTTCTTCACATGCTTATGTATAGACAGAATGTGATGATCTGGATGGATTCCCAATCTGATTTACAAAATTACCTCCTCAAATAACCCCATATTAAACTAATTTAACTTAATTTTCATTAAATTTTATTCACTTTTTATCGGGTTTTTATATATTAATATAATCTAAAAAGATTACAAAACTTCAACATCCTGCAAACAGACTATAACACAACCTTTAGTCATAAATGAGGATGTTTTGCTTCCTTCCTCCATATCTTATCTTAAAATTTTTCCTAAACACCTGTCTGGGTGACACAACTAGGAATCCTGTCAGATGATGTTTTTCTGGTAAAAAGATGGGGAAATATTCAGTAATAAAAGGTCAAGTTTCCCCACACTCGAGGCAGATCATCCCAGATAGAATTGCCATGTAAAGGCAGGTCATCTATGATCCATGATCTAGTCATATAGAAAGTGTTCCTGCTTTATCCACTGTGTCCTTTCACTGGCCTCTCCTTCCGAAGACCGGACCAATACTCTCCTAGACCAACAAGCTCCGAGCAGTAAAAAAAAAAAAAATTATCATCCAGCGAAAATTTGAAACTTAAAATTTAATAATAATTTGCCGCCAGAGGGAGGATAGAAGATAATCTACATTAAACAGCGCAAATTTCCAGTAGATATAAAGAAACTCCCAAATGGAGAAGGATGAAGTAAGCAAGATGTCATAAGATCATCAAATCCAATTTTTAAAAAATTTTTACTTTTTAATTGGTTGTTTCTCTGTTTTAAGGAACTTTTTCCAGGACGGCCGCATAGCGTAAAAAGGAAGGTCGGGTCGTATGAAGTTTTTACTAAAGAACATTTAAAAGAAATATGGTGATCACCCAAGAACTTTTGGAAGCGACTACGTCTTAATTTTTAAAGAAAATTTTATCATCCAGCGAAAATTTGAAACATATGTTTAATGTTTTGTTATTCTATTACTTGTCCTTGTTATTTTGGTCTTCTGTGATTAAATTGTTGATTTTTATATTAATGACCTTCTTAGTCAAGTATTTATTGCTTATGCACAACCCCACACAGAATCTTACCACTCGGGTTCTGTTAGAATAAGCCATCCAATGACAAAGTGAGCAGGTCTAAAGGATCTGACAATTAGAGGGTCTTGACCCTCGTCCGTATTCTCACACAGAATATGTTCTGTCTAGTGAGTAAGAGATAGCTTTTTAAAAAATGAATGGGATAACTGTTTTGTAATTTTGTTGTAAAATAAAACATTCAACACCTTATAACGCTGAGAAATATTTATTAATACACAAACGTTTTCAGCCTAATGGAATAGGCCATCATCAGGTGACACCTGATGATGGCCTATTCCATTAGGCTGTGTATTAATAAATATTTCTCAGTGTTATAAGGTGTTGAATGTTTCATTAAATGTTTAAAAGAAGCTGAGTTTGATATTCAATTTGTTGTAAAATAATTTAAAATTAGTTTTTAGAGTTTTTTGTAACCTGCCGAAGAAGGACATTAGTTTGATATGCCGAATAATTAGTATACAGATTTGTTTTACAATAAGTATCTGAAAAACAATTGCCATCCTTTAGTTTTTGTGCAGTCTTTTCCTTGATATAACAAGTCATTAAATAAAGTAAGATTCTCGTAAACATTTTTCCATAACACTTACAATAAAGGACAAGAAACATTAATCATAATAGCATTTAATTATTATTAATAGCAATAATGTAGCCCAATCTAATCGAGCAATCATTTAGCTTAGTAATCCATATTTGTTAGATTCATTTATCATTTTTTATGATAGTTTCAAAAGATCTGTTGTTTTCTTAATGCTAAATTTAAATGATCTTTGTGTTTATCATTATTTTGCTAACATAATGTGAAAATCTTTTATAATTTAAAGGTTTCCTCAAAACTTCCAGAAGTTTTGATAACTCTCAAATCTGATAATTCTTCCGATGAAGAAAATGTAAATTTTTTGAGGAAAAGAGTAACTCGGCGAGGCTTAAAACTCGATGATTTTGTTTCATTGAACCCCGAATTGGAAGAAGAATTGGAAATGTCAAAAATTTATACTTCCAGAGTAGATTCATTCAGGAAACAAAGGAATAATTTTTATGAAAGTAAGTACATTTTATAATATTGATAATATTTTATAATTTCTGAAGTATAAAGAAATATTTTTCAATTCAAATTTGTTGTATTAAACAAAATTTCTAGATATTAACTTTTCAATAAACAATCTTCATTCCTATATTTCTATATAATAAATGTAAGAAGATAGGAATGAAGATTGTTTTTGAAGAATCTAGAGGCAGGATCCCCACAATCTATCAGTAAATATTATGACACCTGCAAAACAAACAAGTAAGCTGGAATGCTAGACTGCGTAACGGTAGAGTACTGTTACCATTTAATAGGCTGTATAGATAGTGGAACTCAAGTTGTTTAGTGAAATCATTGGTACATATGGCATCAAAGTTGGAAAATTGCTATAGAATCTGACTTTGATATAAAAATGCTGTGATTATTTTTTCCTTTAAAAATTTGAAACAAAATATCAAAGCATTTTTAGATAATACTTTACAAGTTTTACTATTAACACAATATTAAATAGAGTTTTCTGTCATAAACTATAAATATGATCTCTATAAACGGGCCCAAGCATAAATATATAGTTGTCCCAGCTTTAATTCAAAATGCTCGGGACCATGAAAACTGGACTTGAATTATCTGATTTCAAACTAAAAGGGTAATTTTTTAAATAAATGTTGAGTAGACTTTTTGCGGGATGTATTTTACATTATATTTACTTAATGTTTTACAGTAATTATAAATGAATATTAGATGGCATTTGCTTTTATGTTGTAAAAATATAAAAATAGAACAAACATGGACGATATAAAGTTCTGAATTTTTTCGTGTTGATATTGAAGGTTATGCTCACATTATATTACTGTATACAGAAATTTTATTACATACTCATCAAGACGAAGTTTTATAGTAAACATTTCTTTATTTCACTGGAATAAAGTGCAGAACACAATGAAGAATCTGAAACCAATGGAAACTAAGATTCAATGTTGTTAGACTGAAAGGTGTTTGCCATCAACCGGCAGTCTATAACCAGAAAGTGGGAATTAATTTTAATACAGAAAACGGTATCAATTAAAAAACAGATTTGAAAGAGTTACAAGCATGAAAAGAGTGTAAGAATGCTGTAATTTGACACAATTTACTGTATTTCAGCATAACATTTACAGAAAATTTAATCGAAGCTTCCTGTCCTTTAAATGTTAGGTTTCTAGATCATATAGTATGTTAATAATTCAAGGACTTCTCATACAGGAATGGACTTCATTTAGATGGACAAATAAAATCTTTGACATAGTCATTCTGCAAGATACATTTTGGGTCTACTAGTTCCAAGCAAAGTTAAAAGGAAAATTGTTTAAAATAATGTAAAAGATTATATAATTTTAAGTTTAAAATTGATAATGTAAATCATATCATCAAATAAAAATATATGCAGCTGTCGGTGAGTCACGCTGCACTAACTACAGTAAAAGAAGACTAACCCGATGTCATGTGACAAGCTGGCAGTCGTGGGCACATACATATGCCGACGTTGTGGTGTGACCAATATTAATATATTTGATTGTAACGTAAGTATCTGAACATCTATGTCATTTTATTTCATTTTTATTTTACAAGGGATAGAAAAATAATAGTACATTGAGGCAGTCAATGTGTTAATTAAACACTGTGATCAAATGTGTTACTTGAAATTACTCATTAAAACATTATTCAAAATTGATTACTATTTCTAAGTGACAGCTTAATATGCTACTTTTACTTTCCAGTCTCCAAACTGTTAAGGCTGGCAACACCTGCATTAATTACATAGTAAAACTGGTGGCGATAAAAATTTAAAACTGGCAAAACGGTGGTGATCTTTTTTAATTTTCCAGAGTGACCCGTGTTGGGAGTATCACATGGTACCTTTTCTTTCAGTAAATGGTCTCATTGAATGGGCTGGTATCATGGCTGGTAACATTACCAACACATTTGTATTACTACTCACATAACTCGAGATTAATTAAGTACTTGGGAGTATTACCTAAATCTCATGAAGGATGAGTCTTTCACATAGTTCTTTATAGATTTTATATTCTTGTACTTAAATGTTATGCTTTTGAGTTAAGTAAACTTCATTGAAACTAATAATTTATGAATTAAACATAAATATAAAATGATTCACAAACAAATTGTGCTACTATTTTTTTAACACTTGGTGGTTTTCATTTGCCAAGTGTTAAAGAAAATAGAAATTAAGAAAACACTGTTTCAGAAGATTGGTAATGAATATAAAAATAATAACATTAAATAATTTAAATCTGAAACACTTTCAAAATGATTATTTTGTATTAAGTTATATTATCTGTATGAATGAAATTATATTGTACTAGTTTAATATACAGGTTGATTCCAAACTATGGGGATAAGCTTTGGAAATAAATACCTGGTAGGAAAAGGAACAAAAATGGTTCAAAAATGCAATGGTGCCAGATGGATGGCACTACTGGCCATCACAAGTTGCTCACACAGGATGTAACACTTCATAGCAATATGGCATACATATCTCGGGCAGAGTCACATTGATATATCTGAAATGTCCTCCATAGACTTCAATGCAAGCTGTTGTATGTTGTATTATGAACTGATACATCCTTTGAATGTTTCTACCTATTCTGAACAGTGCTACAAGTAGCATCCATGTGTTGTTGCAACATCCATCAGTAACTAGTTTAGTGTACACAATACTTTTAAAATATTCCCATATGGAAAATTCAAGGTGGTTGAGGTCTGGCAACCATGCAGCCCTCTCTCAACCAATTCACCTGTCAGAGCAGGTGGCAAACAGGCATATAGAAGTGGTCCTATCTCTGCAGCAGTGCATTTCTATACATTACGTTGAAAGGACTATTTTTCTTCTCTGCTAGGAATTCACACCTGAAGTTTGTTTCCATAATTTGGAATTAAATATGAAATNCTTGTGCATGGTTACTTTGAGAATTGTAAATTTTATTGGTTAAATAAGCAGTTGCAGATTAATATTATGTAAGCTCTCTTATCTTTAACATTTTTTAATTTGACTGTTTTTAGGAAAAGTCCCTATACATTACGTTGAAAGGACTATTTTTCTTCTCTGCTAGGAATTCACACCTGAAGTTTGTTTCCATAATTTGGAATTAAATATGAAATATGTACATAACAAGTGTCTTGTATGGTACAGTTTAAATAAATTTAAATTATGCATGTAGCATCTGTTTCATAAAAGCATAGCAATTTATATTATTGACAAAATGTATAATAAAATCATTCTAGTAAATGTAACTTTTTCATTTTAAAATCAGTTTTGTTCTATAGCAATTCATTATACAATTATATTAATGGATCATTATAGAACATAACATATTACTTCCAGATTTACCTGCTTTCTTGTCTTCCGTTCCACAGAATAATGATGATGATGAAGTATTGGATAAGGAAAGTGAAGAACACGAAAATGTTAGCAATGCTTGCAAAAGACTTTGTGTAAATAATGTAAATAATTCACCTGTAGTAGAAAGGTAATGCAGTAATATTTAAAATTTAAACATATATAATACACTGTTAAAAAATATATATTTTTTAATAGTGTATTATGTCTAGACTAAATTAAATTCTATTTTTAGATTTATATTTTTCTGAAAAACTGTAAGTAATATCATTAATCACCTGTGGGCTATCTCTAAAATATTTGTGATATGCTTCTTCTCTAGTCTTGTGTTTAATTATACAAGATGGCTTTTCTTTTTTGCTAGACTTATTGTACCATCAGTAAAAGGAGGACAAACTTTAGAAATGGGAATGAAAAGCTTTTCTGAAGTTTCTCTTCCTTTTATTGATGGTATAATAAGTCTAGCAAAAAAGAAAAGCCACCTTACTGCTCGTATAATTAAAATATTTTTAAAGTATTTTTTATTCTTAATTTATCCATTACTCTCAGTTATTTTAACTTGGATTGTAGCTTAGAGGACACTCAAGTTTCTGTAACAAGTTAGTATCCAGTATGAGAGATAATAAAATAAAATATTATTCAAAACATTTTATTTTTTTACTTTTATTTATAATCTGTTTCTGCTTAAAGCTTTTTATAAACAATTAAAAAAAATCATTTGATTACATATGTAATTTTAGCATTTTCTGATATATTAAATTGTAAGTAAAGGGCAAAAAATCATAGAAAAGAAACTTAAATGCCATTATTATCCTTACTGAAAAGAATTTTTACAATATTCAGCTTTTATTAGAAAGACTATGATAGTACTTAACATTAATTATTTAAAAGTTATTAAAATATTCCTATTGTAGTATTATTGATTATAGTTGATATCTACTAATTTTGGTTAATTCTGAAGAAGGAAAAAAAGACTGGGTCAAGAATATATCATAAATATAAGCTGTTAGAGATGTTTTGGTTAAATTTACAACCTATTTTAAATATTTGCAAGGTGATAAACTCAAAACTTTTTAGCGAATAGCTGAAGAAATTTGCATCTAAGACTATAGGAAAAAAATTCTGGAGCTGAAGCCAAGAATTTTTTAATGAATGTATGTATGGCTTTGACTTCAACTCTCTGCCATGGTATGAATACCTCAGAAATATTACAAAGAAGATTACAGTTTGTTTCCTTTTAAAGCTGTGTAAATGCTCGTAGTTTAAATTATTTAAATTATACAGCAATAAACTGTGCAAATCTAATGAGAGTTATGGAATTTAACTTGTGCATGGTTACTTTGAGAATTGTAAATTTTATTGGTTAAATAAGCAGTTGCAGATTAATATTATGTAAGCTCTCTTATCTTTAACATTTTTTAATTTGACTGTTTTTAGGAAAAGTCCCTCACCACCACCCCAAATAACTGCTCTTCCAATTAATTTTTCAAAAAGGAATAATAGAAGAAAGACAAATAAGATACTAAGGTAACTAAAAGTTAAAAACATACAAATATAAACATCTATAAACCTAATTGTTATATTAAAGCCAAACAATTGCTGAATTAGGTTGCACTATATTACTGCTTTTCTTCATAATTAAATGCTAAGTAATTTGGCCTAGAATGGGTCGGCAACCTGCCTGTGGCTCTTTCTAAGTTAGTAAATAATATACATATAACAAAATTAAATTTTAAATTTAATCCAGCTTTTATTTAACATTAATTATTTAAAAGTTATTAAAATATTCCTATTGTAGTATTATTGATTATAGTTGATATCTTCTAATTTTGGTTAATTCTGAAGAAGGAAAAAAAGACTGGGTCAAGAATATATCATAAATATAAGCTGTTAGAGACGTTTTGGTTAAATTTACAAGCTATTTTAAATATTTGCAAGGTGATAAACTCAAAACTTTTTAGCGAATAGCTGAAGAAATTTGCATCTAAGACTATAGGAAAAATTTCTGGAGCTGGAGCCAAGAATTTTTTAATGAATGTATGTATGGCTTTGACTTCAACTCTCTGCTATGGTATGAATACCTCAGAAATATTACAAAGAAGATTACAGTTTGTTTCCTTTTAAAGCTGTGTACACACTCGTAGTTTAAATTATTTAAAAATATACAATGGATGCTTGATAGGTCAAACTTTTTTAACTCTAATTTTATTTTTGCCCTGAATTAACTCTCTTGTTTCACTAGATATTCAATGCATTCTGTGTCTGTGTTTCTATAAGTCAAAGTTGTTTTGAGAACACATTTCACTAACATGAAATTTAAGATCTGAGATTTTGTGTCTGTCAATGGACACTTAACTAAACTTAAAATAAATAAATAAGAAATGAATGTTTAAAAATAAGTTAATCATTAAATAAAGTCATTGATATAATTTATAGATTTAATTCAAATTATACAGCAATAAACTGTGCAAATCTCATGAGAGTTATGGAATTTAACTTGTGCATGGTTACTTTGAGAATTGTAAATTTTATTGGTTAAATAAGCAGTTGCAGATTAATATTATGTAAGCTCTCTTATCTTTAACATTTTTTAATTTGACTGTTTTTAGGAAAAGTCCCTCACCGCCACCCCAAATAACTGCTCTTCCAATTAATTTTTCAAAAAGGAATAATAGAAGAAAGACAAATAAGATACTAAGGTAAGTAAAAATTAAAAACATACAAATATAAACATCTATAAACCTAATTGTTATATTAAAGCCAAACAATTGCTGAATTAGATTGCACTATATTACTGCTACTCTTCATAATTAAATGCTAAGTAATTTGGCCTAGAATGGGTCGGCAACCTGCCTGTGGCTGTTTTTAAGTTAGTAAATAATATACATATAACAAAATTAAATTTTAAATTTAAGTAAATGAAAAAGATAACTCATAAACTCCACTAATATATTTTTAAAGACTTTTTATTTAACTAATCACTTGTCACTTCACTATCAGAGTAAGAACAAGACTTAATAATAATAATTGAATATCTCCAGAGAAAAACATGCCAAACTAACCTAGAAAAGGTAGAATTTTTACAATATCCAGCTTTTATTAGAAAGACTATGACAGTACTTAACATTAATTATTTAAAAGTTATTAAAATATATTGTAGTATTGTTGATTATAGTTGATATCTACTAATTTTGGTTAATTCTGAAGAAGGAAAAAAAGGCTGGGTCAAGAGTAGGGTTTGTAAATTTACCGACTTTTTCATTTACCGGTAATTCGGTAAATGAAAATTAAAATACCGGTTTACCGGTAAATTACCGGTGAATTTTTTTCCTGAAAAATAAAATTAAGGTAATAAAAAATATAAGTCATTTTGATTTCCATTTCACATTTTTTTTATTTTAAAGATATAGAATATAAAAAAATATAAGAATTAATTAAAGTGTGAGCCGCCGGGGAGGTCGGAAACCGTCAACTCTCCCTTTTCGGCAACAGGTCGTTAAACCTACTCACTTGTCAAGATGGCTAAATTTCGGAAACAGTCCCGAAGGGTCGGGATACTTTTTGTCAGGTCGAGTGGAGGAGGTGAGAGGGGTCGTCGACGAGGCGTAGGCGTTATACGAGTAAAAGGACACCATTTAACAATGAAACAATGATTTATTAGATTAACGAAAAGAGAAAAAAAAAAGTTAAAGAATACAAAAATCTAACATCGGGGAAGTGAATTTAGTTCACTAGCTCCTAACTCGCAGAGAGAGAGTTTACATTAATTGTTTCATACCTCTAGTTTACTTCCACGTAGATGGGAAAAATTTAGTCCTTTTTGCCAGTGATCGATGCACACAGTACGACGCACAAAGTTAAAGTTTCCCGGAGACTTAATTAATCCTTCTAGACCACGGGTTCCCAACCTATGGGTCGCGACGGGTTTTCTGTGGGGAAGCCAACTTATGCAGTAAACTAAAACAAAATTTTTACTATAATGCAATATTTATTTTTAATGATGTCTTAAAGTTTGAATAATTTCATATATTTTTAAAAAATTAAAATAAGTGTAATCTGGGTAGGCTATTCTGTCACAGTTGGTTGAAACATGTGTTGAGAATTTTGAGAGGAATAAATTAAATGTTGAGAATGACATGAGGTTGGTGTTAACAAAATATCACCCGCGAATTTTGAGGCTATTTAATAATACATGCAATTTCAACCATCTCATTAAATTAATTATTAAACATAATTTAAAATAAAATTATACTAAAAAACTAATTTCATTGTCTTTTTAAATACCTTATTAAAAATACCATTTTCAATTGTATCGAGGTCGCGGATCACTTGGCTTTTATAAAAAGGGGGTCGCCACCCGAAAAAGGTTGGGAACCGTTGTTCTAGACCGTAGATGTCAGACTCCCCCGAGGAGGGGGAAAGAAGTTGCTTTTATAGCTCCGGACTGGGAAAATCAGTCATGTGATCACCTATTGTGAGAGGTAGAGTTGCTCCTGCAGGTGTGAAGGTTAAAGTTGTTCCCGAGACCCAAAACGAAATGACGAATTCGGACTTTAACTATAAACTTTTTGTCTTGCAGCAGAGGAATGTCATTGTTCGAGGGTTAAATGTTTATATTAACGATGAAAGTTATAAGTTTCGATCGATATTTGATTCTTTTTTTGACAATGTTATTTTAACGAGGAGGCGACAAATTTATTTTAAATACGTCGAAAATTTAGGGGAAAATGAACAATTTTGGGCTTATTCTGAGGTCAGATCTCACAAAAGTGTTATTCTTAACAAACTATAATAATAACTTTTAGAAACATAAAATAATACAGAAAAATAAAAATACAACAGAAATAATATATAATACCTAATACCATTTTATTGATTATCATTTTTTTAAAAATAACGTATTTATAGTCTTATCTCCTAATTTTGACGATCTGTATCTGTAATCTGTACGATTTACACGCCTCTCAAACCCAAGGAAGTTTAAATTAAAATTAAACAAAAAATATTTCTCATAAAATTAATAATTAGGTATATTGTTGCTTACACTTTACCTGTTTTTTTTTTTTATTTTCAATGTCCCTTTAGCCCTTTTAAATATCTATAAACACAATATTTTCTACATAAAAATTTCTGGTATGGATTTTTCATTTACCGAATTACCGGTAATTTTCAAAAATTTACCGGTAACTTTACCGAATGTTTTTTTGTCAATTTATCGGTAAACCGGTATACAATCCTTAGTCAAGAGTATATCATAAATATAAGCTGTTAGAGATGTTTTGGTTAAATTTACAACCTATTTTAAATATTTGCAAGGTGATAAACTCAAAACTTTTTAGCGAATAGCTGAAGAAATTTGCATCTAAGACTATAGGAAAAAAATTCTGGAGCNGCTTACACTTTACCGTTTTTTTTTTTTTATTTTCAATGTCCCTTTAGCCCTTTTAAATATCTATAAACACAATATTTTCTACATAAAAATTTCTGGTATGGATTTTTCATTTACCGAATTACCGGTAATTTTCAAAAATTTACCGGTAACTTTACCGAATGTTTTTTTGTCAATTTATCGGTAAACCGGTATACAATCCTTAGTCAAGAGTATATCATAAATATAAGCTGTTAGAGATGTTTTGGTTAAATTTACAACCTATTTTAAATATTTGCAAGGTGATAAACTCAAAACTTTTTAGCGAATAGCTGAAGAAATTTGCANTATTCAAGAGTATATCATAAATATAAGCTGTTAGAGATGTTTTGGTTAAATTTACAAGCTATTTTAAATATTTGCAAGGTGATAAACTCAAAACTTTTTAGCGAATAGCTGAAGAAATTTGCATCTAAGACTATAGGAAAAAAATTCTGGAGCTGAAGCCAAGAATTTTTTAATGAATGTATGTATGGCTTTGACTTCAACTCTCTGCCATGGTATGAATACCTCAGAAATATTACAAAGAAGATTACAGTTTGTTTCCTTTTAAAGCTGTGTAAATGCTCGTAGTTTAAATTATTTAAATTATACAGCAATAAACTGCAAATCTCATGAGAGTTATGGAATTTAACTCATGCATGGTTACTTTGAGAATTGTAAATTTTATTGGTTAAATAAGCAGTTGCAGATTAATATTATGTAAGCTCTCTTATCTTTAACATTTTTTAATTTGACTGTTTTTAGGAAAAGTCCCTCACCGCCACCCCAAATAACTGCTCTTCCAATTAATTTTTCAAAAAGGAATAATAGAAGAAAGACAAATAAGATACTAAGGTAAGTAAAAATTAAAAACATACAAATATAAACATCTATAAACTTAATTGTTATATTAAAGCCGAACAATTGCTGAATTAGATTGCACTATATTACTTCTATTATTCATAATTAAATGCTAAATAATTTGGCCTAAAATGGGTCGGCAACCTGCCTGTGGCTCTTTTTAAGTTAGTAAATAATATACATATAACAAAATGAAATTTTAAATTTAAGTAAATAAAAAAGATAACTCATAAACTCCACTAATATATTTTTAAAGACTTTTTATTTAACTAATCACTTGTCACTTCACTATCAGAGTAAGAACTTAATTGAATATCACCTTGAGAAAAACATGCCAAACTAACCTAGAAAGGTAGGATTTAGCACTTTAGCAGATGGTGCTTAAGGGGTAGTGTCATATTGTAGTGATATTTTGTGAGCATCTTTGGGCACTTTAATTTGTGGCCCTCGTGGTTTCATCTAAAAATATAACTTGTGAAGACATCTTGCAACTGTAAGGCAAATTTAAAATCAGAGAGATGAATCATCACGAATATTCCAATGCAGTTTCTCCTACCTGAGTTAATTAAAAAGTGGCAAGATGAAAAATCATGTTGTCTTGGCATATGGTAGTATTTTTATACCATTATGAAATGATATGTCATCTTAGCCATCGACATATCATTACACCTGACAGCAACAAATCTTTTAAAAGAATCACACTACCAGAAATTTTTTTCTTTGTCTATTCTACTGGTCTGTGATTGCAAGAACTTGTGAATATCTGCCATTTTATTGTGATTGTATTCAGTAAATTTACTTTAGTCCGAACTCAAAGTATTTCTTGGCAGCAGTATCAACTTCTTGCAAACAGTTTCAACTGTCCCAAATCAGAAAATCTGTTTTTTAAATTGGCAGTTAAAATAGAAAAACCTGCGTCACATTTTTCAAAGAACTCTATTCCTGTATATTGTCTTTCACCATGTGGCCATGAAGCATGAATTCACCAGTAACTGTGATATCATTGGTCACATTATTTAAACAACATAGTATAACACCAAGAAGTAAGCATATTAAATATTAGAAATAATTTTTATGTACAGTAATTTTGTTTATATATTAAACTTTTTTGCTGGCACTTAAATATTTTTTTGATTGGCAGCTGTGATTTGAAACTAGACAGCTCGATAGTTCAATGTTAACTTGCTTATAATTAAATTTAAAAAAAAACAGGCAAATTTATGAAGCAGAAATTAATGAAATTACAAAAAAAAATCAAATTTAAATTTATTTTAATTATCTTTTGTGCAAAACAGCACTCATAGTTATGTTGCAAAAGAAAGGAAAGAGTTGCAATTAATTAAAAGAATTGTAATTAAACATTCAAAAAATGCAAGTAAAATTGAATAAATAAATATGTTTTCTTTTTGTTTTATTAAAATTTACTAAAACATAATAATTTAATTTCTTCTACAGTGAAATGGAAAATAGTAAACGTATCTATAATGCTATCAGAAAGATTGATGATTTCGAAAAATCTCAGTCATTGAATTCTGATTTATTAGACATAAACTACCAAAGAACATTAATGGTAAAATTTAGATGGCAAGGTACAATTCTAAGAATACCTATGAAAATGGTAAGAAATCTTTTAAGTAAATATATATTTTTATTTGTTAATAATAATTATTGGTGTAATTTTTTTAATATAGTTATAAAGAAAATTACCCCTATGTAATGTCATTTTTGTAAAATACAATGTGAGCCGCCGGGGAGGTTGGAAAAGCCTCTCCAATATGGCCACAGGTCGGTGACCTACTTTCTTGTCAAGGATGGCGTTATGTTCAGTTACGCGTTACGCAAGTGGAGGAGAGTCAGAGGGGTCGACGATAAGACGATGTACAGTCGAGTAAAAACACCATTTTAAACAAAACAGAAGTTTATTTTACTGACTAACGAAATTAAAGATTACACGACTCCTTCTAATACGCGAATGAGAGAGAGTTTACAATGAAGCTTTCATACCTCCTGAGAGACTATCAGGGTGATAATTCTCCAGCAAATTCGGTAAATTAGCACAGGTCCTACGGTTTCGGAATAGGTCTGGCGAAATAGCAGTACTCGACGGCTTCCGATGAACTTTGAGCGACTTCCGATCAGCGACTCCCCCGAGAGGGGAAGAAGGATGCCTTTTATACTTTTTTTTTCGATGGGAAAATTAGTCAGGTTACCAATTGTTTTAGCAGGTGTGGGGTTAAAGGTGGTCCCGGGCTGCAATAAATCATCAAAGTTGGACTTCAACTGTAAACATTAAATCTTGCAGCAGACGAATGCTATTGTTAGATGGTTGAATGTTTACGTTAAAGGGGAGAATTGTAAGTTGATACTTGATATTTTTATATAAGTGAGATAGTTGATTTCGTTTTTCTGACGATGGGGTTTTTTCACAGTAAGGTGATAAATTTATTTAAAATATGTTAAAGTTGTTTAAAATTTTGAAGGAAGGAAAAAATTCGGTTGCACACGGGTCGGATCTCACAACAAAATGAAATTGTACTTTAATCAAACCACTTGGATTTGAAAGTTTTTAATTTTTAATCTGTACGAATTTTATTGTAATAGAAACCAGTTTTCTTGTATCGCAATAGCATATAATATGTGTTTGAAAGATTCCAGGAGTGAATTAAAAAATCAAAATATGTTAAGCTATATAGAAATTTATTTAAATATTCTTTGTGATAATTGTCTTAAACACCAGTATAGCTTCTCTTGTGATTTCTCCAATTTGAAAAACATTTAGAAAAATCTGCTTCTTTTGGGTGGGAATGGTGAAATTTTCAATCTGTCTGTCAGGAGTTTTACTGACTTGAACTATTTTCTTTTTAAAGTTGTCACCAGTAGTCTGTTGTGGGTTTTTGCCTGATCAATGGGCTTGCTGCTTGGAGTTTACAGTCACCCTTGACAGATTATTTATGTTGCATTGCCTTTCCTGCATCTTTTTAAAGTTTGTTTTTTACTTTTAGAGTCTTATTTTCTATCTTATTCTTTCAATCTACTCTTAAAGAACTTTTCTTTATCTAAACTTCAAGAAAGTTTTAAAAGGAAAATAATTTGAGTCAATAGAACTTAACAAAGATGAATAAGCTAAAATTTTGTCATCTCTGAAAGACAGTAATTTTTCCAATTATTTGCTAAATTGCAGAAATTGTTAGGAAAAGCATATTTATTTTATTTCAAGATATATTTTGACACAGGATGATATGCATTTTACGAGATCACATTTCAAAGATCTGTTTGCAAAAGGAATTCTTTACTTTTCTTAATCCTTTTGTCACTTATAAATTGTCACAAAGTCCATTTCCAACATTCAATGATATTTTTATTTTAGAAACGAAAAATGTTTCGTAAAATACAGTTGTGATGCTGTAAACAAGATAAATTAGCACTGTTGACTGTATAGAACTTACTTATCAATCCACACACTACATGAATCATATCACAGATAAACTGAATCAATCACCTATGTCTTCATCCATTGTCTGTAAATATTACTTTAGATAATGACAACTTCTATGACAAAATATCAGGTCAGTCCATAAGTTTGTGTGCATTTTTATCTACAAAAAAAGCAACAAAAAATTTTAATTAAATTTTATTTCAATCTATAATGTATTCACCATTATTTTGTACAATTTCTTGCCATCTTGATGGTAGCTTTTTAATCCCGTCTTTGTAAAATGATTTCGGTTTAGAATCAAAATATTCAGAAATAGCCTTTTTTACATTGTTCTCATTCTCGAAAGTTTTTCCTTTTAAAAAATTCTGCAAACTCTGAAAAAGATGATAATCACTGGGAGCAATATCTGGCAAATATGGTGGATGAGGTCAAATTTCCCAGTTGAAGCTTTTGAGTTGAGCAGTTGACGTTGTTGTCAGTTAGCTATTGGCAGTTCATGTGGTATCCATTTTCCTAGCTTTGAAACTTTTTCGATTTGTCGTAGATGTCTATGAACAGTTCAATGGGATGAATTTAAATGTTCCGCAATTTTATCAACTGTTAAAGATGGTTCTGTTTCAAGTAGTGCAGAGAGAGCATCATTATCAAAGTCAACAGGAATTCCAGTACGAGCCTTATCCTCCACACTAAAATCATTATTTCTAAATCTTTCAAACCATTTCTGCGCAGTCCTTACACTTATTACAGTTTGATTATGAACAGTATTTAATTTTTTGGCTGCATTTGTAGCATTCTCACCATTTAAAAATAAAAAAGTATAAAACATGTCTCTTATATTCATCTGTTACTTCCATTTTAACGAAAATAAACAACTGAAATGTTCCCAATTCTGAACAGTATTATATGAATGAGATCCAATTTAATACTTCTGTGTAAAAATATCAAATTAGACTGGCAATTTTAACAGCAAAACAAGATTTTTCTCAAGGTCATAAAATACACACGAACTTATGGACTGACCTGATATGTTCTTTTTCCGTTAATGTAATGTAAGAAGTATGTAATGTGTGAACGTAATTTTTTTTTTTTTTTTTTTGTGGCTAAACAACATAGAATTGTATTTTAGAAAAATGACTACAGTCGACCCCCCCTATAATTACGATTCCTATAAAACTACGAAAAAATTGTGACCGGTATCCGTAAAAAACAATAAAAATTCCCTATAATTACCTCAAACGTCATCAGGCAGCCAAACTACTTTCCCACCATCCGTAGCGCCACGCTACAGAGAGATTTCTATCGTCTGGACAGTATTATATAAATTATATATAAATTAGGTACTGTACATATAATTATATATTAATTATATATAAATTAGGTACTGTATATATAATTATATATTAACTTATTGTAACTTTGTTATAATTAAATATATAATTTCCGCCGTCTAGCGTGGCGCCACGCTACGGAGATTTTTACGCTAACTATCGTCTGTCAGTATGTAAATTAGGTACCGTAAGTCTAATACAGTACTGTAATTTTATACATTTCTTGTGAAAGAAACATTTCTTATTCAACGGCGATTAAAATTATTTATATTAATGATGTCTCCGAAGTTCAAGGAACTATTCGCAGAAAAATAAGTTATTAGAAATCAGCCGCGGTTTGCTGAGCTGTTCCGCGACAAAAACAATGTTGAGCAATGGCGATGTTGAATGATGACACTCGGTAAGTAATCCTACAGTTTTTTATTTATAGCATAGTTTATATGGATTATTTCCAAAAAAATATATACGTATTTTGGAAATGTTGAGTCAGATTAGTCTAGAATCGATTAATTTTATGGAAGAAAACCTTTCAATCAGCCGTAGTCCGTAAACTTGACACGTGTCGGGCTGTGATTGGAACGACTTGTGAGAAATCGGATTCCTAAAGAATGGAATGTGTCTATATCTTATAGGGGGGTCGACTGTAGTTCAGTCTGTTGTCCAAGGATCATATTTTGAGAAACTGCTGGTGCAGGGCATGCTACTGTGTCTTACAATTAAAGAAATACAGTTAGGGTTGTTTGCCTTATCCCTTCCAATTATTTTAAAATAACATTCAAGTAAAAATAAGATATTTAAATTTTAAAATTGTCTTTAAAATTTAATATTTCAGACACAAAAATTTGCAACCATTTTACCCGAATTAGCAGAAAAATGCAAAGTCGACATTTCTGATATTTTTCTCGTCATAAATGAAGAAAGTATTAAAGCCGAAGATTCTCCCGACTCACACGGTTTAACTTCGGCCGACATAATAGGTAAAATTTTACATTCTTTGTTATTTAATTTTCAATCTACAAACTTTAATATTTTATGTAATATTTGAAAATTGCATTTGTTTTCGCAGAATGTTATGTTATCAAATCGTCAAATTTAGCAAATGATGAAAATGAAGTTAATTTGAAAGTTCAAGCTAGCGACAGTAAAAAGAAAATTACTATCTCGATAAATAAGGTATTTTTCATTTTTCAAAATAATGTATTTGTTATGATAGTTACCATGAGTGTAAACAATATGAAAAAGTAAGAGATAACAATTTACTTCCTTCACAAATTATTTTAAAATTAATAATTTAGAAAAATTATGAAATCTAATGGAAAATATTTCAGTTTTTATGCATATTTTTACAGAAACATCTTTAAGAATTAAAAATCTTCATAATTTAAAGTTTTTGAAATGAATTCCATTTAATTCTTTTTCTCACAGGCACTAACAGACCTTTTTTGTAAAATAAAGTCTCTCTTAGTGTTGATGGCTTTAGTTACGCCCATAACAGGAACATTCAAGGTATTTGGGATGGACTAATCATGAAAAACTTATGGGATACTTTTTGACTATCCAGAATTAATCCCAGGTTTCCAAGGGCAATGGCTGATGTCTTAACCACCTTAGCCATCTGGTCATCAAAGTGAAATAATTACTGAATAAGTTGTTATATTGAGGAAAATTAAGTAATTTGACAAATTATCAAATAGTTTCCGATAACTTTCAGAAATATTCTTAATCTGTCCCGAGTTTGTTCTCAAAACACTAGTTTCTCTCCTCCATTTATCTATTTTTCTTCTAATATACAGTATGTAAAGGTTTTACTTAAAATTTTCAATTCAATTAGTTGAAATTTAATCAGTTGATCCATGATAGATGTTTTACTGTATTCATGACAAATTAATTAGTATATTTGAAAGTTAATCAATCACTGACTGGATTTTCACAGTATATATTTTATATGAAATTGAAAATATAAAATATACTCATTGCCATAAAAATTAATGCACCAAGAAGGAGCTGTTGAAATTGAACAAAATTGTGTGTGTGAGAGTAACAGTGATATAAGTAATTACAAAATGAAAGCGAAAGTATCATTTATTGCAGGAAAAATTACAGATGAAAGGAGATTTTAGTATTCTGTTGGGTCATCTCTAGCTTGAGTTTTACACAATGTGATGTGGACAAACATGGAGGAGTACAGATGCCTTACAGTGTCCTATCGCATTTTGTCCACAGTTGTGGCAAGCAGTCCAACTTGGCATCCCAGGTAATCTCGGATATGTTCAATTGGTGACAAATTGGGGGACCGGGTTGGCCAAGAATTATATAAATATGATGAAGGCTGTCCCGTAACACCCTTGCTTCTGTAGACCAGTGTTCCGCAACCTTTTTCTACTCACGGCACACCTATGACTCCACATGACTCAACACGGCACACCAAAATGTTATTCCCCTCAAAAATGTATATGATATGATACTATTAATGGAATTTCGTAATGCTATAAACCTATTATTATTATTATGTGTTGGGTTTAGTGAATTATACTCGGTACACACCGGTGGCAGTGTACTATGCCGGACCAAAGTCAAGGCATAGCAACCAAAACGAAACTAAAATAAAATGTGTGTGTCAGTGTCTGTATTAAGAAATTTCCTAACAATATGGCATGTATTCAATATAGTGGCCTTCTGTAGTGTGATGTATGTATTTCTACTCAATTGTAATGTTCCCAGGCTTTTGTGTAGCGTGTGTGGTATCACACCTGTACAGGAGAGAAC